GCTGCTCCTGGGGCGGCCAGATGGGGTCCTGATGTGGGGGGTGTGCAGTGAGCTCTGGGTTTGGTCTGTTTCACTGGGAGAGCTCCGTCGTTCAGGGCCGAACCGGGGACTTTTCATCTCCTCCCCTCTAGCTCCTTCCCTGCTCCGCAGCCTGGCCCTGCGAGTGCTCCGTCCCCCCCAGCTCTGACTGTCCCTTGGTTCGTGGCACCAGGGCTGGCCATTACACCCCACACGCTCTTGCATTTCAATCCTTTTGCGGCTCCTGCCCCGTGGCCTGCCTGGGACCCTCACTCTGCCTCAGTGCTCTGCTGGGCTGGAGATTGTGCATTCAGCCAGCGTGGCTCACCGACAACCCCATCCACAAACTGCTCTCAGGAACGTGTCACCTGCACACAGGTCTGTGTGGCTCCTCCACCACAGCCCAGAAACCCTGTGAAGCAGGTGGCACCGTTGCCATCTGAGAGTGAAGCACAGACCTGCTTGTTGCTTTTCTCTGCTCTCAGCGTGTAGTCGGGGTCACTGACCCGTGGTCTATGACACCTTATCTCCTTCCCCTACCTCCAAATGAGAGAGGCCTCATGCTCACCTCCAGGCATCCGTCTCCTGTGCGTACAGGCCTGGTGGGTGCCCCCTGCCCCGTGCAGGGAGGAGCGGGCAAATTCCCTCCAGGTGCCCTTGAGAGTCCTGGGCCCCCACAGTGGCTTTGCAAGCCCCAGTGTGTCACCTCTGAAATCCTTTTGCTGAAGAAGCATGTGTGCTTGCAAGTCAAGAGGCAAGGGAGAGAGTGGCCGAGGTTTCCTGGTGGGCCAAGTGTGGGGCGTCTGCTGGGACCTGAGTGAGCCGCCCGGTGATGGTGCGTTTGACCGAGCTGTGGTGTTTGCACCACCGACATCACACAGGTCAGGCTTCTTTGGTTTGTAGAGATAAACACATGGATAGCCTTTCCAGAGGCTGGGGAGGAAAAGAGGAGACTGTGCAGTTTCACAGAGTCTTGGTCCATTGCAGCTCCTATAACAAAATACCTTGGACTGGAGGGCCGGGCACGGTGGCTCACGCCTGTTATCCCAGCACTTTGGGAGGCTGAGGTAGGTGGATCACCTGAGACCTGAGTTCCAAGACCAGCCTGGGCAATCCAGAGAAACCTCATCTCAAAAACAAAACAAACCAACAAACAAAAAGTGCAGAACACCTTTGACTGGGTAATTTATAAGCAATAGAAATGTATTTCTCACTGTTCCAGAGGCTGGGAAATCCAAGGTCAAGGTGGCAGCACATTCTATGTCTGGTGGCTGCTGCTCTTGCCACATCCTTCATCTTGGATGAAGGGACAGACAAGCTCCCTCCAGCCCTTTTATAAAAGGGAACTCATCCCATTTATGAGGCGGGCCCTCTGGACCACTTTACTTGCTAATGCTGTCACAGCGGGGGTTAAGTTCCAGCATGAATTTAGGGGGTACCGACACTCAGACCGTAGCTTCATATACCCCGCCTCCTACTGTCAGCCTGGGGACCAGGTGGCCACAAAGCATCCTCCCTGCTTCCCTGGAGCCTGCGGCCCACTCCAAGTTGGCCAAGAGCAGAGGTGAGGTCCCAAGAAACCACCATGCCCAGAGGGGCCTCTGCCTCCCTCGCTTTTTACAGGATTGCATGCAGGGTTGAGCCCACTGACCTCAGGGGTCTCAGAAGCAGGTAGGGATAAAGCCAGGAGCACACAGGCCTCCTTTGGAGACAGTTGGGCTAGAGGTGGTGTGAGGACCTGCTTCTCAGGGACAAACCCAAGGTCAAAAAGCCAGAAGGCACCCTGTCTGTGGTGGCCCCTGCACTGCAGGGCGGCCTCGCCCCTGCTCTTTGAGGGATCGCCCAGGTTCTGGGCTTGACCAGGGGTCCTTGTAAAGGAGGAGAGATAGAGCCTGTGCCCTGTCCCTTCATGGTTTTACAGGGATGTTTTAAACATTTTAGTTATAAAACATTTCAAATGTAAATTGTAAAAAGTAACTAAAACAGACACCTAGGCACCCACTTTTGAAATCAGATAGCAACATTGTGATTTTAAAGAAATGAAGCATTTCAAATCCAGCCAGAGAAAAGAAAGACCTCCCAGATCCTTCCGGGAGCCCGAGGCGGTGGCGACCCGGTGGGGACCACAGCAAGGATGTTGTGGGGCAGTCTCTGGCTGCAAAAGCCCTGTGGTGCCAGTTCATGAGTCTCACCCAAGCCCGAGGCGCTGGCGGGCAGAGACTGCACCTGCCTTTTAGGGATGGGCAGGGGTTACCATGTTCAGACCCCGGGCTGTGTGTGTGCGCAAAGCAGTGCATCAGCCCTTGTGGCCTCCTTAGCGGGAGGTCCTTGTTTCTCATGTTGCACATGAGACAGTGGAAGCTTGGAGAAGACAAGTAATTTGGCCACGTCTCATAGCCGCTGAGGGGTGGAGGCAGGATTTGAACCCAAGACTGTGCATCTGTGAGCCCCGTGCCTGTGAGCACCACAGCATGTGCAGGGCTGTCACCAGGCGGGTGACACGTCCCCTGACACTCTTGCTTGGGAGGAGGATCTCGGAGGATCTGCTGCTCTGGAGCCTGCCAGGCCCTGTGCGGCCTCCTCCCACGCCTGCTGGGCTCTCTTGGAGTCTAGGGAGCTGGAGGCCCGCATCTGTGACCTCAGCAGCGGAGCTCTGGGCCGGTGCCCTCTCCTGCTTCTGCTTGGTTGGATCTAATCACCGGGAAACTCCTCAGAGCCACCGTGGCTGCGAGGAGCCCTCAGTATCATCCTGCCTTCCCCCTTGGCTCAGGTCTCCCTGGGCCACCTCGCTCTCCCTGTCCTGTTCGGAAACCAGCTAGTGGGAACAGCAAGGCCTCCACAGGCTGAGGACCCTGGGGCTGGGAGCGCCCCCTTGGCCTGTGTGGCTGTGGCTCGTGCTCGGCAGGGTGCTTCTGGGAGGGCTAAACACAGTGCTCACAGGCCCGGTGTGGTGAGGGCCGGCTGCCAGAGAGCAGGAGGGGCTTCCCTTTGTCCTCTCCCGCCCTGGACACCCAGCGAGCGTCCCTGGTGCAGGGGCTGAGCAGCACAGAGGTGTGGGGCTGCGAAGCTCTCCCGTCCTTGGGGGTCTCTGTCTGAAACGTTCCACCCTTGCCCACTCCTCTCATTAGAGTCCGAGAGGCTCTGTGACTGACTGGGACTCAAGGACAGGGAGCCTGGCTGGCCCTGGAGCCGGCCATGTGGTAGGGAGATGGCCAGGAAATGCTGCGCTGGCGGTGGTCAGCCTGGCCTCCAGGATGCAGACACGGCGCGCCGGGGGTGGTGCGAAGAGGGGTCCTGGGCTTCCACTTGCCCGTGAAGGAAAAGGGAGGATCACGGTACAAGGGCTTTCTGGGCAAGGAGGACTTGTAGGAAACCTGGGAGGAAGGCACGTGCCCAGGTGTCCTGGGGCAGCAGTGTGGACACAGGTGTGTGGAGTGGAAACCAGAAGGTAGGGCCAGGGAAGCCGAGTCCTGCAGGGCCTCCGGGCACCAGGCGGGAGGGGTGGTCTTTCTCAGGAAGCGGAGGGGCTGTCAAAGACTGTGAGCGGCTGACTGTGTGCCTGGCAGGCTCAAGAAGGTCCATTTGTCCTTCCTGCTGGTGCCCATGTTACTGGCAGGAACTGTGCTCCTGGGTGGTGCGGACGGCTGAGGTCTGAGTGCAGGAATGTTCTGGAACCCTGCCAAAGCTGACATGGGCAGGTGGGCAGTCACACACATCCCTGTCCTTGGGGAGGGGACCATCCAGTTAGGGAGGCTGCCTGGGCTGGGGCCCACCATAACCCCAGCAGGGCTTCAGCACAGGGCCTGAGAGAGGGCAGGCGACTGTCCACAGGAAGCACCCACAGCCTCTGCCTCCCAGAGGCCACGCTGTGCTCCTTGTGGTTCCACTGCCCTCTCTGGCCACAGTGATTGGCCCAAAGCCAGTTAACTCCTTTGACCTGGGCTGTGGCCTGGGTCGTGGAAGCCCTTTCCTCCGCAATTTGAACAGGGAGATAATATGGGGAACCGACAGCGGGAAGTGACCCAGAGCGTGGTTGTGAGGGGAAAGTTAGGAGGGACATGTTTGGGATGCTAGTGGCCAGCGTGGACTGCCTGCCTGCCAGTGGGCCCACTGCCTGCTGACCACAAGGGAAGCGCACTGCGTGCCTGACCCGCTTCTGACTCCTGGTTCCTGGGCCCCAGCAGTGGTGGCAGGTGGCCTCTCTGGGGCATGAAGCCTGCGCCTGTCTCCTGTGCCATCGCGCCAGGTCACTGCAGCTGTGGAGCCTGCCTCTCCGCCCTTGCCTTCTCGTCTGTGACTCTGCTGACCAGGTGCTGGCTGGGAATGCTCTTGACTGGGTGGTGTTTAGTCTAGGGGAATTTACAGAATTATTTTAATAGTTTCTACACTTCCCTGGGGCTGCTACTCCTGTCCATCTTGGTGAGGGCCTCTTCCCTTGTCTCCTGGGTCCTCTTCTCGCTGTGAGCCCCATGAGTAGGGGGAGCAGTGACCCCGTGACAGCCCCCAGCTGTCAGCTCCAGTCCTGGCCGAAGTCTACCTCACACCCTCGCTCAGGACTTTCTGTGTCCTGTCTGTCCGTCTGAAGCATGTGAAAGCCCTTCTCTGGAAGCCCTTTCCTCAGCCAGCAAGAGCAAGCAGTTAAGTGCCTGTACCCCATACACCCCCTGGAGGAAGGGGCAGTCCACATCCTAATCCTCAGGGGAAGCAGCTGAGGGGCAGAGAGCCAGGGACTGGCTCAGGGCAGTGTGGGGCTGAGCGGCCAGGCCTGTCGGAGCACTGGCTGTCCCATGGCGCAGGAGGAGCCGCCTGCTTTTGGGTGCTGAAGTGGGCAGTCTGGTGGGGCCTGTGGTGGGGCCATTCCAGGCTCACCCACGGTTTCACCATTGAGACCTGTACACACCCCTTCCCCCCCTTACAGAGGGAGAAATCTGGGGTGCTTCAGAGCTGCCCCAGCTGCCAACCCTCCCTGCTCCTCCTCGCAGCTGGTGAACCGACTCGTGTACTCTGGCAGCGCGGACAGGACCGTCAAGTGCTGGCTGGCAGACACGGGGGAGTGTGTGCGCACATTCACGGCCCACAGACGCAACGTGAGCGCCCTCAAGTACCACGCGGGCACCTGTAAGTGACTTGGCCCGGCACGACCCGCGCCACCCCAGCCTGGCTTCTCCTCCCTGCTTCTTTACTTCCTGTGCGATTTTCCCTCATTGAGCCTTGGCTGCCAATCACCAATGTCCAATGGCGGTGCCCCCTCCTTCTCCACACAGCCATGCCTGCAGCTGGTTTGCAGAGAAGGTCCAAATAAGGGTTTGGTGGTTCCTCCCCACCTTTCTCCAGGACAGCCTGGGAGACTGGACTGCTGGGAGGGTCTCGGGTCAAAAGCACGTCCCGAAAGGTACATCTTAATTCTCCAAGTGAGACAGTGGCTACCCCTTAATCCAGCCAGCCTCGAGGACCACATGGGTTTGGCCTCATTTGGCCTTAGGATTTGTATGCAGGGAAGAGAAAATCCAGGTAGCTGTGGTTCCAATGAGGTAGTGGTTTATTTTCTCTCATGTAGAAGAATTTCAGAGGCTGATGGTCTAGGCTGGAATGAGTGGCTCCACAAAGTAATCAGGCCCCCAACTTTCTTCTGTCACTCTGCTTTGTCATCCTTAGCACTGACCTTCTATCTTTAAAGAAGCCTCATGATTCAAGATAGCTGCTACAGTGTCTGCCATCGTGTCATGTTTTAGGCAGGAAGGGAGAGAGGATGGAAGGGTGAAAGGACGCGTCTTCTAGAGAGGATGGAAGGGTGAAAGGATGCATCTTCTAGCTGAGTTGGTCCCTTTAAGATCTTTCCTGGAAGCTTCATCCAAGGGCTTCCACATACCTCTCTGTCACCGTTCTGTCTGCAAGATATAGTGAATCATAAAGCCTTTTATTTGAGGAATTTGATGCCAAGATGGAATCAGGGTTATTTTGGAAAGAAAGAAGGGCAAAATGGCTTGTTGAACAGGCAATGAGCTGTCTGTCCTACAGGTCTCAAATTGTCACACACCCGGGCCATTTGGCTCTGCCTCTGGGAAGGAGGAGACGGGGTGGGGGAAGAGTCACAGTGGAATATTCAAGTTGACCTCACAGCAAAGGTGTTGGAGGAAGATAGAATGCAGATATCTGAAAATAGATCCTGACATGCCCTCAGGATTCAGGTGTCTGACACGGAAAAATTATTTTTCGTTTGTTCCTGTGTCCAAGCTTGGAAGTGTGGTTATGGCTCTACTCCCAAGTCTGGGTCCTCTAATTGAACACGAGGAAGGTTCTACTTTCGAAGGTTCTACTTTCAAAAGCTCTGGCGGGTGGCCGCCTAGAACACCTCCCCGTGCAGCTGGGGCATGGAGCCTGCAGGGAAAGCGGAGCCTGCAGCCCACTGTTGCCCATCTCGGTTCTTGGTCTTGGCCAGCAAGGCTATGGGATGACCAGACTTTGTTTTTGATCCTCTTCCCACCCATGGGGAGCTCAGCAGCCACACTGGGTTTTCCAGGCCATGTCCATTTGTCTCTGAGTTTGTGGGGGGAAGGCAGAAAGGGGCTAGAAAGAGACCCAGAGATGAAACTTCTCCTCTGGGGCCATTCACTCTATAGTTTTTTAAAGAAAGGCTCAACAGGCTGGGCACCGTGGCTCATGCTTGTAATCCCAGCACTTTGGGAAGCCAGGGTGGGAGGATCGCTTGAACTCAGTAGTTTGAGACCAGCCTGAGCAACATAGCAAGACCTTGTCTCTATAAACTTTTTTTTTTTTTTTTTTGAGACCGAGTCTTGCTCTGTTGCCCAGGCTGGAGTGCAGTGGTGCAGTCTAGGCTCACTGCAACCTCTACTTCCCAGGTTCAAGCGATTCTCCTGCCTCAGCCTCCCGAGTAACTGGGACTACAGGTGTGTGCCAACCACACCCAGCTAATTTTTGTATTTTTAGTAGAGACGGGGTTTCACTGTGTTGGCCAGGCTGGTCTCAAACCTGATCTTGTGATCTGCTCCGCCAGCTTCAGCCTCCCAAAGTGCTGAGATTACAGGCGTGAGCCACTGCGCCCAGCCCCCCATTTTTTTTTTTGATTAGCTGGGTGTAGTGGTGCATGTCTGTGGCCCCAGCTGTTCAAGAGGCTGAAGCGGGAGGATCATTTGAGCCCAGGAGTTCAAGGTTAACAGTGAGCTATGATCGCACCACTACACTCCAGCCTGGGCAACAGAGTGAGATCCTGTCTCCCTGTCTCAAAAAAAAAAAAAAAAAAAAAAAAGAAGAAGGCTGGGGAACAAGTACCCACAGAGCACCCTCAGATAGGTAGCCCAGCACCCTTACCCCCAGGTGGTCCTGCCCCTTCTCCCCAAGGTCCCAGGCAGGCTTGCGCCCTAGCTGCCCACCATAGTTACCTGCTCATTGACAGACCAGGACTTCCTCCCTCCCTCTCCACCTCCCATTTCCCTGTGAGCGTTTCCTGGGACGCCTGCCAGGTGTACTGTCTGCGTCAAGTCCTAGCAACAGGGTCGGCTTCAGAGAGCCCAGCCTAGGCCAAGTGAGTTCTTCTAGTCCACATCCTCCGTGTGGCTTCCTGACTAGCAGCAGCTTGTCACTTAAAACTGGCTAGAAATGCAGATTCTCAGACCCCGTCTGCTAAAACAGATTCTGGGATGCGGCCCCATGCTCTGTGGCTAAGCCTCCAAGTGAGGGATGCAGGCTGCTGTTGGAAAACGATTGGACTAAGTTCTTAGGAAAAAACCCCAGGGAGAGACAGTCACCTGGGGGAGGAGACAGACTGAGGGTGGAGGCTCGCCCCCGCTAGGGGTCCTGGGGGTGCGTGATCATGAATCCCAGAGGACTGGGCTTTGATGTGGGGGCCGATCCATTAATGAGGATGGGAGGATAAGGCTGCGACGCAGCGGAAGGTGGGGGGGTCGCGACTTGAGGACCTTAGGATTATCCCCAGGCAGGGTCCTCCCAACCAGGCACGGGAACCAACTTCACCAAACCGCGGAGTGGGGACTGGGCCCGGGCGGTGTTCAGCAGGGGCAGGGCCAGCTGGCGCGCAGGCATCTGCAGGGTGGAGCCCAATAACTGTGGGGATCCCTGTTTCTCTGGAGGGGCGCTGTCCACTTCCCATATGAGCCTCAGGATACCCCCGTGGGGCGGAGTCCCGGAGATGCCCCAGGTCACGCTCTCGCTGCCCCATCCCTGCCTGCGGGGGGCCGGGCAGGGAGGGAGGGAAGGAGGGAGGCCCAGTGCGCCCTGTGTGTCCGCAGTGTTCACGGGCAGCGGGGACGCTTGCGCCCGGGCCTTCGACGCGCAGTCTGGAGAGCTGCGGAGGGTGTTCCGAGGCCACACATTCATCATCAACTGCATCCAGGTAGGTCCCTCCGCCTTCCTCAGGGCCGCTGCCCGTGGGAGGGAAGGTGCCCCGCCCAGATCCATCAACGCCGGCGGCCGTGTCCCCGCTCCTACCGCCTCGCCAGTGATGTCCGCCCCTGCGCCCGCAGGTGCACGGCCAGGTGCTCTACACCGCCTCGCACGACGGCGCCCTGCGCCTCTGGGACGTGCGCGGGCTCCGAGGTGCCCCGCGGCCCCCTCCGCCCACGCGCAGCCTCTCACGCCTCTTCAGCAACAAGGTGGGCTGCGCCGCCACACCCCTGCAGCCGGCCTGACCACGCGGGCAGGGACAGCCCAGACGCCCATCGGCTCCCAGAGCGCCCTGCTCTGCTCCCCGCGGCGGTGGCGCCCGATGGCCGGGGAGGAGCGAGGAAGCCCGGGCGGGAGGAGAGCCCGGCGCAGGCGTCTGGTTTTTCTTTGGTGGCCAGGAGGCGCTGGGAGCGGGAGTGCTCGCCCTCGGGACCGCCCTCTTTTCCCTTTTAGGGTGACTCCTGCCCTCCCTCCCCATCCCTGACCTGGCGAAAGGCCTAGTCTCAGGGACCCTCCCACCTCAGGGGCTGCAGGCGGACTGCCCCAGCTCCCCCAGCCCCAGGAAACAGGGCCTTTCCTGCTGAGAGGAAGTGACTTTACAGAAGCCACTGAATCTGGTTATTTTGGCAAATTGTCCGTCTCGAGGGCCTTGGGGGGAACTAAAATACACAGCCTGAAAGTTCAGAGTACTCCTGTGTCCTCTTTTTGTTTTGCAAACTGAGTCTTAGCTTCCTTTCGGAGCTTGAGATTCCAGGAACCCAGGGCGGCGGGCCTCCTGCCCTCTGCCTCTCACACCGGCCTGGGCAGCTTTGGGGGTGACTTGTGGAGATGCGGGGCTGCTGCCAGTGTCACTGGTGCGGGGAGTGGACTTGGAAGAGGCCAGGGAGCAAGGGAGCGGCTCTTTAGCCTCTGCAGGTGACAGCGGGGACCCTGCTTGGGAGCTCTCATCATTTTCTGGCATGAATCTGGGAAGTTCCTTCAGGACCTGGATTGGGGGGAGGGGGGAGGGGACGGGCAGCAGCCCCATCCGCGGGCTCGTGCACAGGAGTCAGGGCAGTGCCTGATGCTGGGAGGCGCGACACACACGCCAGAGCCACCGAGCACCCAAGGGGAGCCCTGTGCGCAGGGGCTCAAGGGGCCAGTGGGGCTCAGTCTGCCGAGAGGCCCTGCAGGAGGCCCCTCAGCACCCTTCACAGCACCTGGAGGGGGCGCTCTTCAGCCCCTTGGTGGTGCCGCTTTCTGCATCCATGTGCCCCGGTTGGCCCAGGTGCCAGGAGAGAAGCTGCAGGTGACAGTGTCTGCCGTGAAGAGCTCATCATCTCGCTGCAGAGAGAAGCATCTGCTGCAGGAGCAGCCCCTTCAAGTGGAGCAGCCCTTTCAGGTAGAGCAGCGTGCACTTCGTAGTGTTAATGCAGAAAATACTTCATCAGAGAGGGCCAGGGCCGCCAGGGCTCACCTGCCAGGCCTGATGGGCGGGTCCACCCTCGCCCGGATGAACAGGTAGGGATTGCACTGTGGGGAGTAGGAAGGAAGGGACGCAGGCGCTGTAACTCCTCTAGGCCAAACCTCCAAACCCTGAGAACCAAAGCGACCCCGACCCCCACCCCAGGAAAAAGGGCTGGTTGGGAGGTAAGCAGATCGGTGCAGGAGAAGCCGCAGAAACGGCACCACGCACTGTTCTCTGGGTGAGACTTAAGCACACACAGACCTGGGGTCTTGTGCTAGGTCTTGTGCCAGGTCTTGCTGCGACCCGGAACCACTGGGGCCTGTGGCTGCCGCAAGGGGCGTGTCTACCAGAGAGGAGCTTTCCATCGTGCTGAAGGGACGGTTCCGGAGATGCAGGCCAGAGAACCGCCTTGAGTGCTGCCTGCGGGCAGTGCTGCCGGCTGGCCCTGAGCCTGTGCAGACGCTCGAACTGACTCCTGCCTGCCGAAGACACTGTTGGTTGGTGATGCTGCACTCTGGCCTGAGCAGCCCCTCACTGATATGTCAGTTCCAGTCCCCACCTTATCCAACCACATCAGGGAATGGAGCACGCATCAAGCCATCCAGAGAAACCAAATGGGGCATGGACCCAAATCACGGGCGCTGCACTCACTTAGCATTTTTATAGCAACACACATTGGGGTAATTTCTACTTCCACCGCACAGAGAGCTTTGCGAGATGCTGAGGACATAAAGACAGCCAGATGTCCATTCTCTCTCTGGTTTCTGAGAGCCAGAGAGACATGGTGAGTGAGAGACTCTGATCTCCTGAACCCAGGCCTGGTCCCCTTCCAGCCACACCACTGTCACCTTGCTATGAACGAAGAAACAAGGTGTCTGCTTTTGATAAATTGATTGAGTTGGCTAAGAGAGGAAGGACAGGAGCTACCCATAGGACATATGGGCAGGAACACAGGGACACGGTAGGGCAGTGATCAGCATCAAGGACGCCTAACCAGTTGTGCACACCATCATGCTGGCATGGGCTGCCCTCACCTGCCTGCCACACGCCCCTGCCTACTCCTGCTCCTCTAGTGGCATCCAGCCTCCCCACTGTGATCAGCAATCATACCATCCGCCGCCATTCTTCTCCCCACAACTCACACCTTCTGGCAGCCCATGAACATGTCACACTCAGACTGTCCTGCCCCAAATACTATCTCATTTGTCCCACATCTAGACTGTTCTTTGTCCCACAGCTAGAATGTTCTTTTTCCTTTGACTTCCCAAGGAGAACCCTCCCAGGCCCCCTCCTCTGCAACAGTCTCTCCTTCTCCAGCCTCAGCACCCTCCTGCCCCCTCCTCCACCACCTGTCCAGTTCCACAGGGTCAGTTGTAGGTACAGCAGGCCTGGCCCGAGTCTCCATGCCTGCAGGGCAGCCTGTCCTGGATATAGCGCATGCCCAGAACTGCCCCCACAACCAGCTTCCTGTGCAGCTCACTCTTCACAAGATAGGAAGAGTTTTGGGGCCTGCTGGTGTGTCACTGCTTCTATGATGGCTAAAAACAGCTGGGAAGCTAGAAGACACGCCTGAACCAAGCTCAGGACAGCGACTTGCTAGCAAAAAGCTTCAATTCAGGCCCCAAATCCAAGTGTGGCATTGTGTCAAATGAGGCTGAGACTTCGCGTCACCTCAGCTCACCAGGCACTTCTGAGGCAAACCCTGACAGGTGCATTTCAGTCCCCTGCCCAGGATCCACCCCAGCCCCACTTGGCATGTGGCATCTTTCACAGCAGGTGCCCTGTGCTGCTTCTGAGGTCATCCTTCCATCTCCTCACAAAACTCAGTGGAAACAAACATCTTGCAATCACGATGAAGCACTAGTCACCCAGACACTTTCCACACCTGCAGCTGGGGAGGCTGAGTCAATTACTGTAAAGTCTGGGTGACAATTGTTGAATATATTTTCCACCTTTTATTTCCATCAGTATCATCCATTTAAGAAGAATGACAAGAAGTTTCCCATCAGTCCAAACTGGACCACCCACGCTTTATGAAAAGGTTAGAGCATTTCAGCCGGTCCCACATGACCCATCCGTCTTCAGTCAGTGCCTTCTGGAAGGGAGGAAAAGTCTTGGATCACCTGGAGCTCAATCCACTCGGCATGTGGCTGCTGCTGCAGTCCTGGTGCTGGAAGGAGCCCCCACTGGGTGCACATCTACAGAGGAGTACGTGGCGCAGTGAGGACGGTTACTGCTGGAGCCGACACACAGCGAACTACATACTTTTAGAAAGAGCCTCTGTCACATGGATAGAACAACAAAACCCCCACAAAAACCTGGAGAAAATATATCTAAGCCTCTGATAGATCTCTTAGCTAGCAGTGAGTTCAGTATGACAGCACAGCGTCTACAAATATTAATTAAAAATAAATTGCTTTGGTTAGCATTTAAACCTTTCCCATTCAGTAAAAGATTTCTGTAATGAGGAATGCTGAACATATATAAAGTCTGACACTCAATCTTGAATTTCCAGGGCGTGTTTTACTGAACTAAGAGCATCAAACACTGGCGCCCCAGGCTGAAGGCATCTGCTGCGACCTGGTGTGGCCCCCAAGGCCAGCGCCTCATCACTATGCCCCACAGCACTTGGAAGGAAGACTTAAAGGATTATTTGAGGGGCAGGGGAAGGGTGGCACAGGAACCCATGGGGCACCCTGGCAGAGATGGCAGCGTGGGAAGCAGGAAGGCCATGGGCAGTGGGTACATGAGGCAGGCAAGCCAGGCAGATGGAGCCATAGCTGGAGAGGAAGTGGTTGGGATGCCCTTCCCAGGACCCTGCCCCGGACACCTTCCCCAGGATCCCTGTTCTGCAGGACCTCTGTTCCTTCCCATTTCAGGGTAGAACACCAAGCTAGGGAAGGGGTTAGGGAGGCAGACCCGGGAGGCAGATGGAACGACCTGCACCAGGCCAGAGGAAGCTTATTCCCCGAGACCACGCATGAAGGCCCTGGGACCCCTCCTGGCCTTGTCCCCTGCCCGCCCCCTCCTACACCCAAAGAGGAACTTGCAATTCAGATAAAAAGTAAGAACAGAAAGAGCTGCATGCGCCTTTTCATAATGATAGCATTTATAAGCAGAAAATGAGTACTATTTCTGTTCATTATTTAGTTTTTCTTTGTTGCTGACTTCATATTTTCTACATAGGATAGGTACTCTGCAATAATCATTTCTTCGTCTTCCAGAGTTGAGTCAAGATAGTCTTCCTCATGCTCTGGAATGTCTTCCAGTATCTCATTGACGGCCTCTGTCTCCATGTCTTCGTCTGTTGAGGCACTAGAGGTTCCTACAATAAAATACCGCGGGAGTAAGTGAATTATGTGAGGATTGTCCTGGGGACACTGCACAACCACAGTCAACCTTAGATTGTGCCTCCTGCTGGCCACACTGTCCAGGTGGCCAGCCCAGCGACGTCAGGGGATGCCCCTCTCAGTCTCCACGTCTGCCGTGGCCTAGGGCACTGGCCCCATCTGTTGGCTTCTGAAGACACTTTGCTGTCAACGTGGCCCTCAGAGACCTCAGACCTACCTGCAGAGTCAGAAGGGGATGTGGCTGGCGGGGACAAAGAGTCTTCCGGCGACAGTGGCAGGTCAGGAGGCAGGCTTCCTCCGTTGTGAGCAAGGGTCTGGGCAGCCAGCTGGACGTTGCCTCTGAACACTCTCAGCGCAGCTTCGGCCACAAGTGCATCAAAACCCATGTACACCAACTAGGGGAGAGGGCAGGGTCACAGCCTCGGCCACCCCCATCACCCACAACGAGCAGACAGCCGGTTCTCATGTTTAAGAGCTCCCGGCATGCGCACCATGGCCCTTTTGGCACAAGTCATGCTTCTGTGCAATGGGAGCGTGGAGCAACCTGGAAGGGGGCTTGGAAGACTCGAGTCAGGTGTGTCAGTGAGCAGCCATCTCAGGACAGGCAGTGACCTCGGGCTGAGAGCAAGGCGCCACGCCAGTCTCACCACAAGCACCGTGAGGTCAGTGGCCACAGCATACAGGCATGCTAATGTGTGTGGGGGGACAAATGTGGACAGAGTTGTCACTTGGGACACAAAGCTGGATGGGTTTCACAGGTCACAGTGACATCCTTTTAGGTCACAGGCAGATAAATGGGACTGATGTAAACAGCGGTGCATAGAAAAAGGAGGCAAACCTAAAGAGAACGTCCTGACACTTCCCCAGATTTCCTGCTTTCCGAGGAGGCCTCCCCTGCCCTCTGTTGCTGCGTGGGTGGCCTCTGAGGTGGCAGGTTACACCTGGAGCCTGGGAGCCAAGGTTTCAGCACGGACTCCCCCAGTCCTGCGGCCTGATTCACCCGGGTTACCCCAAGCAACCCCACCCAAGGCTGTCCAAGCTGAGGGCACAAAGACGTGTCACTCACTTGGTCAATGTTTTCCTGGGAAGGACTTTCTTGACGGTTGTCGGTTTCAGGATTGGAATCATTTAACCACCACATCTGAGGGTTGCTGAGCAGAATCTAAAACACACAGGAACACCCTTTACCCATCACTAAGCTCTTCACACATTCAGACAGGCACCGCATCCTGCCGTGTGCTCGGCAGACCCAGCCGTCCTGTGCTGCTCTCAGGCAGGGAAAGGGCTCCCGCCCAGGCTGATGTGTCCAGAAGACTTCCAGCCAGAGACCGGGACAGCTGGGGTTTGGAGGAGGAGCGAGACTAGTCAGGGGAAAGATCCCTTCTGACAGAGCAGGAAGGGACGGAGAGCAGGCGGAAGCGCATCCAAGAAAACAGGTTTCGTCAGAGCCACAGACAGAAAGGTCTCTTAAGCAGCTCAGGGCTGCCTGATTGATCTTTGAAAGTGTCATGCCCTCTAGACTTAAAATATCAGGCAGGTAGTAGAGTTATTTTGACCATTGGTTTCTTCGTCACACAATACTTAATCTTAAAAGACTCTGTGGAGACTTTCCTTTCCAACACTCAATACTTCCGTGTTGACTGGAGGTATTTATGTGCTACTCCTATAATTCCAATCTACTTCGAGACCCCTCAGTCCCTTCGGATGTTCAGAATTTCTCACCTCTTAATATTTCTCCAACACAAAAAAACAAACTAGATATTCAAATACAATTTTAAAATTTAACGTATATGTTAAATATACATATACATCGTAACAAAAGTACTGACTTGTGGAGCCTTCCAGGGAACAGGGCAGGGATAAGAGACAAAGGCAGGGTGGACCCCCCGTGCCTGCTGCACCCACACCCGCCTCAGTAGGGCAAACGAGTACACCTGCCCTGCCCTCCACCTGCCTCCACCCCCATCTCTGCCCCCCAGCCCCGCCCCCAGCATGCACACAACCTAAGCTAGCTCCTACCACTCCGCCTCCTGCCTGCCATGCTGCCCCAGCATCTGCCTGGACTGCTGCCTCCACGCAGCCAGCCCCCTGCCTCCCGTGCACCCCTGGGGACTCCCCACTACGTGTGCTCTGAGTTTGTCTCTCACTGAGCTGCGGGGCTGAGAGGGCAGAGTGCGCTTCCATACCAAGCTGCCGAGACGCAGCACAGCACCTGCCCTACTGAGGATTCCATCTGCTTCTCCAACACAGGGAAGGAAGTGGCCCAGGTAAAGTCACTGCTGTCTGGATCCCAACCTGCTGTCACTCCTGAGGGGTTCTTTGAAAAGCTTCCCCTTTGCCAACATGTACTATGGACTAAATAAATAAAACTAGATACTTACAGTTAAAATTTTAATGCCAAACAATTATACTACAAGTTGAATTACCATTCTCTTTTTCTGCTGTGGAAACGGCCTGTTTACACTACACTCTGCTGCACACACAAACCCTATATCAAGTCCTGGCCTGTGGACTCTGCTGGTGTGGACAGGCACCATGTTCTGGAGCCAGGCCTGGGCCAGGCACTGAGCATGGGGCCTCATGGGGCCTCATGTGGCCTCTGTCCGGGCTGAGGCCCAGGAGAAAGCTGCCCTTCAGATCTGATGATGGGGCAGCCCATAGGAGTGAGCCTGGGAGGATGCCCGAGAGCCATGGAGGGAGCTCTGGGCAGGACCCACTGCTCAAGGACAAGGCCAGAGGCCCCGAGGGAGTGGCTACCTTCAGGGCCTCGTCCAGGTTCCCGCTGGCTGCGTGGAGTGCCTGCTGGGCTGCGTGCATGGAGTAGCCCATCCCTTTCAGAGACCTGATGTTCTCGAGGCGGCGTCTTTTCTTCTCTTTTTCCTCCTTCCTTATTTGGGCCAATTCCTTTAGGAAAACAGCAAAGTCCCATCCCAAGTTAGGGACTGAGATTTCACAGCATCTCAGTCTACGCTCTGCGGGATTCTCGGGGTTTCCAGGCAAAGCCAAAAAACCAAAGCAAAGCACAGCAGGACCTCTGTCTACCTCTCCTCACCCAGCCAAATGGCAGAGGTGCCACAGAGGCAGAGGGGTGGTGGAAGCGCTGCTTCTGAGGGCAGGCAGTGGAAGTGAGACGCCCGTGGGGCAGGAAGGAAGTGCCTCATGAGCCCTGCCATCCAGCATCAGGATGGGCCACTCGCCCAACCCAGCGCACTCCCACTGCAGAGGTCGCAGGCGTGAGGTGCATGGATTCTCTTCTAGGAACTGGGCAGAAGAGCTTCCTGCATGTGGTGGGAAGGCCTTCCAGCCTTTGATGAATCGCCCAGGGACTCAAGTTCAAATGTGATGTGGAGTCAGGGGGCTCCTGGGCAATGCCATGGTTGATGACCCACCCACCACAGCTTGGGAAGCAAGGACTCCAGGGCCTTCTGAGGCCTGTCATTCCATTCAGAACCCACAGAATGCCCAAGGGACAAAGTTCATCTAACCTCTTGGTTCTCAACCCTGTTTCTCAGAGTTGCCTGCTATTGCTGCAGGAGCACAAGGTGGCTGCAGAGGGTTCTAGTCTCTTCGCCTCTCCCACCCAGGGCCAATCAGGAGGGTTCCCAACTTATTTTGTAAACTAGTATGCCCATAAACATGTCATTTAAAAAGGGGATTTTGCTGCTTAAAAACAACAACAAAGCAAGTTTGAAAACCAGGAGTTTAATCCAACCTCATTATTTTCCCAACAAGGAGACAGAAAGCTTTCAACAAAGCTAAGTGACTGCCACATTCTCCCAGGGAGACCAGCTCCACCATCAGCAGCAGTGAGGACGGGGGAGAAAACAGACTCCCCTCCTTCCAGAGACCTGCTCCTGCCTCCCACCCAGCCCAGGCAACAGGCACCTCCCTGCGTTTTCCCCACAGCAAGAAAGTGGCCTCATCTCTCAGGAAAACAAAAGCACCATCATCGTGGAACCAGACTCCACAGCGCCACGGTAGGAGGAGGCAGAGCAGAGTGGCTGCTGGAAACATCTCCAGGGATGAAGATACCTGTAGACTCATGGCCTGTCTCTATCACGGGAGAACCTCCCATAGTTGGTGTACATGGGTGCCTCTCTGCACCCCGAGAATCCAGCTGCACCAAGCCTGTCTCATGCCCCCGTTACGTGCTCTACCTCTCAGCGGCCAGTCTCCCCCAGCTCCAGCCCCGCTGCACAGCGCAGTGGGCTCCGTCATTCCAGTCACCTACCTAAAAGCCCACAGCAGCTCCCGACCACCTCCCCACACTGAGGCACCAGCTCCTTATTATGCTACTCAGGGCTCCCACTCCCTAGCCCCAACAACACTTCCAAACTGACCTTATCCTGCCACACCACCCCAACCACGCACGCCAGCAGGAGCCTTTCATGCCACTCACATTTGCACTTTTATTCACACTTACACTCCACATAAAATGCCTTTACTGGTCCCATCCTCTGCTTTCAATACAGTTTCTTCCATTTATGTTCCAAAAGGCTAAGAAGCATGCCTAACATCCAAGCACAGAGAAGGAGGCTGCCAGATAGCAGACCTGGGCATTACCTAACACAGACCTCACATCAACTGGGAGCTTCGAAGAACATTTCCTTTCATTATAAATGTCTTAGTCTGTTTCCTTTTAATCATGTAAACACACGTGAGAAAATTATTTTCTGATA